AAATTTGAAACACAAAATCATAAATTATAATTTAATAAATAATCATAAAAAATTATAATATATAATAATAATACATTTAATTCAATAATATAATCAAACCAAAAACACTGAAAATGGAAATATAGCGCCAAGTTCTCACATCACTGAGCAAAGTCGCAAAATTGTTTTCAGTGTCTGATGATGAATTTCTCCACGAATCATTATCACTCAATTCTGCAAGTGGTTCTAATTTACTATTGCTGTTCTCTAGCCGGTCTAAAACCGCTTTTGACCTAAAGGGACGCTTTTTGGACGCCATGGACTTTTCTAAGTTTCCAGGCAGAAAGAACAGTCAAAATGCAGACAGGGGACAGGACAAAGCACTAGGGACAAAATGTATGTGAAATGGTTTGAAACAGCAATGTTTTACTATGTAACATTCGTTTTGAAGAAAATGACATTTTTTTAAAATTTTCAAATTTCCCGCCGCCGCCGCCGCCCGTACATCCCGACGTCATAGGGACCAGAACACAGAAGCCGGATGCCGGCATCAGCCAGAGGAGATGGCCGGGGATGCTGCAGGGGACACATCGTGGGAGCAAAGGACAAGGTAAGTGCTGCAGGGACTCCCTATGCAGCGCCGCATGGTAAGCCCGAGTGTAGCTCGGGGTCACCGCTTTTGGTACAGAAACTTTACCCCGAGCTACACTCGGGAATACCGTTAGGGAGGTTAAAGCATTGTTCCTGGTATTTATTTGCAATAGATGTGTCAGGGATCCAAGTATGACCAGAGGTGTGTGGACTGACACAGGGAATGGCAGGCTTCAGGAGTGATGCAATAAGAATATAATTTATTAGGAACTACACGAGTATACAAGGGCACAGTACAAACAAAACCAAACCTCCAACTAATGTCAGTATGTTCAGGAACACAGACAGGCATAGTCAGGCTGGAAAGGTAGAGTGGTTAGGCAGGCCGGGTCAGGAACAAATCGGGCAGACAAGGTACAAAAGGAGCAGGCAGGAGAAAGGTCAGGAATAGCTGGGGTCGGTGCAGGCGGAGTTCGATCAGTGTCAGAGTCAAGCAGAGGAAACAGGCAGGCAGACGACAGGACCAGGTACAGGGGCTCATGGGAAACAACACCAAGGTGCTGATTGCAGGCCTGGCCCTGCCTAAATACACCTCCTGCAATCAGCCTCAGGTGATGGCTTGATTACAGGAGTGAGATCCTGGCTGCTAAAAGCACCCACTGTCAAGCACTGGTACTGCAGCCCACAGAGCAAGTGAGCCACAGCACCACCAGTGGTGAGTCCATTCCAGACACCGTGTGGAGAGGCTGTGTTGGACTGTGCTCTGCTAAGCCCCAGGTAGGCCCGAGAAGCCTGGGGCTAAAGTGACCTGCCCAGCCCAGGTAGGATGGTGGATCCTGGGTCTGGGTCCAGCGAGGAGAAGGCCCTGGAGGGGCCTAGTACGGGCCTCTCTTTTCCACCAGTAGAGGACCTGGGAACAGCCCCTAGGAAGGGGGAAGTTTACTCTGCCTACCGGGACCGCGTGGCCGCTCGGGCCAGGTTAGTAGAGAAGGAGGAAGCCAAGCTCCAGAAGCTGACTCCGGATCTAAAGAAACTCTGGTCATTCTACGACCGTGTATGGTCTACAAAGCGGCAGGCCATGAAACCGAGCCTGCAGGCGCTGGAATTATGTGTGTCCCAGCAGGGGAGGTATGTGGTGGTGCTGCAGCACAAGAGCGGCTTCCTAAGTGAAAAGTATCTGAATGAAGCAAGATTTAAGGCCGCAAGAAGCCGCAGTGTTGCGGCTATGTGGGGTCCGGTGGAGGAGGCCTCCTCGGTGGAGGAATTGTCGGGGGAGTTGCCGGTGGAAGGTGAGCAGGAGCAAGGGCAGGCTGAGCCCGCAGCATCCTCAGAGAAAATGGCGCCTAAAATAGAAGACAGCGTGGTCGCGGGATCGTCAGAGTCCCTCCCCCCTGGGCAGCAGCCTGTGGATTGGGGGACCCAGGTGGAGGAGGCGGAGTTGGCGGGCGGATTGCGGTTCGTGGCAGAGGCGGTGCCGGAACTGCTTGGAGCAGACTTCCGGTTTACATCTGAGGACTCGGAGGAAGAGACCGGAAGTGACATCATCCCCCACAAGCCGGCCAAGCTGGTGGTGAAAGAGCGTGCCGCCTTTGTCATGCTGCAACGCATCCCCAAGGACGTGCTGGCAAAGACAGGTGAGCCGCTGTCTGTACAGAAGAAGGACTCTGCTGAGTGTGTTGGTGAGATGGTTGTGGACACTGGGGTAGTGGGTATAACGCCTGCAAATTTGTATGAGGTACAGGTTTGCCCTACAGTCCTGACTAATGGTGTTTCCCCTCCGGTGGTGGTCCCGCTAGGCCCCGCCCCTTCAGGGGGCATAGTGGCCTCTGGTGTGCAACCAACAGGTCCCCCGGTTTTTCCTCGGGGGGCTCCGGGTTCTCAGGTCCAGGCTCCTGTGGGTCAGGCTCAGGTGGGTTCTCCTGCTGGTGTGGGTGGTCCCCAGCCCCGGGCTCCCCTAGGTCCTGGCTCATCTGCGTCTGCCCCTTCAGTTGCTGCTGCTGTTGTGGCAGCTTCCCCTGGTCATGCCCCCTTGGTGGTAAGTGCCCCTGAGGCTAGATCAGGGCTCAGTTACTCTGCCGCAGTTAGGGGAGGTCAGGGGTCAGTGGGATCGGCCCGAGCAAGGGCAGGTAACCTACCCACTTCCGCCGCAAGGCGAAATGTTGTTCAGCTCAAATGGTCAGGGGAGGGTCCCCTCCCTTTGCAGGAGAGAGGTCATAGACCGGATATTAGAAATGGGCTTCCGTGCCATGGATATTTTCGTGTTCATTGCTCCAGTTGGTACTGGAGAATATGACGTGTCCTTCATGCGGCCGGAATTGTTGGACCTCTTTTGGCAGAGGTATGAGGCCACTTTTGTCACCAGCCCTAGCTGGGTGGGCCTAACCCCGAGGCTCGTCTCTCGCCAGTCCCTGATTGAAAAAAATAACGGTGCTGGTGAGAAATGAATTTATCCCAGCATCAGATATTGTGGTCTGGCTAAGCAGATATGGGGATGTGATGGGGCCCCTTGGGAAGATCAATGATGAGAGGGGAATATGGACAGGTGGGTGGATGACCACCGTCCGCTTAAAGGTGGTTGGAAATGTGCTCCAGCACATTCCCTCTTCCGCTTTTCTAGGAAAGGACCGCCTGATAATTTTTTATGCGGGTCAGCCGAGGGTCTGCCACCGGTGTGGGGGCAAGGGGCATTTTGCGGCCACCTGCCCCGTCATTAGATGTTCCCTGTGTCAGGAAATAGGACACCTGGCCAGGGACTGCAATGTCATCCGATGCAATCTCTGCGGGGAGCTCGGGCATTCATACAACCAGTGCCCGGAGGCCCTCCACAACCTTCCGGTGGAGGAGCTTGAAGCAGAGTTGGATCGGATAGATGCTGAAGAGGCGGAGGCGGCTTTGGAGAGAGCGACTTTGGTTGCTGTGGTGGCCCTTGTGAGGGAAGGGGAGGTTTCTGTGGCCCCTCCTGTCTCTGTCCCCCCTGTTTCGTCTACCCCTTTGAAGTCCTCTGTTGTTCCCCCTTGTGTGCCGGTTCCTCCTCCCAGGAGTAAGAAACAGCTGAGGGAGGCTGCTAAAGGGGCTGGGATGGCTGAGGCTAGGTCTAGTCCCTCAGTGTCTGCTCCCCCCGTGCTCTTGCAGCTGTGGCGGAGTGGGAAGCCCAGTAGGGAGTCCCGGGAGTCCCAAGGTTCTGCTCCAGTAGGGGCTCAGGTGGAGGAGGGGTGGTCCCTGGTGGGTAGGCGGAGTAAGCCAGTTTTGTCCTCAGCGGGGTCAGTGTCCTCTTTAGAGGTGGGGGATGTGGCCCTGGGGAATAGGTTTGGGGCTTTGTCGGGGGAGGAGGAGGGGTCAGGTGATCCCGCTTCCCCGATGGAGGACGAGGATGCTGGGGGGGTCTCTTAAGAGAGTGAGGGACCCTGCCAAGAAAGTCAAGAGGAGGATTAAGAAACGTCCCTCTCAACTACCTTAATGGCAGTTCCCGCTCCGATAAAGGTGGCAACTATTAATGTTGCCAGCCTACAGTCTGTAAGAGCGAAAGAAACAGCCTTATTTTTGCTCAGTGGGATGGAAGCTGATGTTTTCTTTTTGCAGGAGACCAGGTTGTCCAGCTTGGCCAATATACATCTGGCTAAGCGTGAGTGGAGGCGTGGGCCCTCCTACTGGTCTCTTGCGGCTCAGCATTACAGCGGAGTTGCGGTGCTTTTTACTGGCATGGTAACGTCCCGGCGGGTAATTGAGGTAGAGATTGGAAGATGTCTGATCCTGGATGTCCTTGTGGGGGGGCAGGAGTTGCGGCTGATAAACATTTACGGGCCGCAGTCCAAGTGGGACAGTAAGTGCCTCTTCACAAGGATCAAACCTTTCCCTTTTTACGTCCCGGCTGGTGGTCTTTGGAGGAGATTTTAATACTATCACTAGGCCCAAGGACAGGAAGGGCTTCAATTACAGGCTGGGATATGATAGCGTTTTTCTAAATGCTATAGTCAGGGAAGCAGGTCTGGTAGACGCCTTGGTTAAAAGCAGCCCAGACAGCACTGGTTTCACTTTCAGGAGAGGTAACAGTCAGAGTAGGATAGACAGTTTTTTTTAAGGAGAACTCTACCTTCTCGGCACCTGTGTGTCGGGCGGTGGAGTTTTCCGATCACCTTATGCTATCTGTGACTTTGAATGTTTCAGACACGCCGCTGAGAGGGAAGGGCATCTGGAGAATGAATTCGTCTTTGCTGGAAGATGAGGAGGTGAGACGATCTTTCGTGGAGTTCTTTCAGGCTCAGGAGACGGTGCTGGATTTCTGCGGCAGTAAGTCTGAGTGGTGGGAGCTTACCAAAGTGCGGATCAGCAGGTTTTTCAAGGCCTTAGGTAAGAAAAGGCAGTTTAATCAGTATATCGCCTACCAACGGTTGCGGAGGAAGCTCGACCGCCTTGTTTCTAGCGGTGGAGATTCGGGGGCAATCTCGGAGGTGAAGCTTGTTCTCAGGAAGTACCAGTATGATCGGCATGCCTCTTTGGTTCTGGAGAGGGATTATGGGAAATACCACTTGCCTGACCCTTTCCAGAACTGCAAACAGAGTGCAGCAATTAAAACGGTCTCTGTTCTGAGAGATAGTACGGGGTCCCTGACAAGATCCAGGTCAGGAATTATGGAGGTCTCCAGGTCTTCCTATGTGGACTTACTGGGTGAAAAACGCCTCGACCGGACAAGGATGCTGAGCTTTTTGGAGTCTACGCCAGATCTGGAAAGTAATGTCCCACCGGCGGGTTTGACTGGGGAAATTACTGTAGAGGAGATGGCCAGGGCCATTGATAGTCTGGCCATTAAGAAGACCCCTGGGCCGGACGGTTTGACAGCCGAGTTTTTTCAAAACCTTTAAATCTTGCCTGGCACCTCGCCTCGCGGAGGTTTACAATTGCTGTCTGGATGAGGGATCCCTCCTTCCATGAGGCAGTCTGCAGTAATTCTCTTGTCAAAGGGTAAGGATCCTTCGGCTATTGAGAACTGGCGCCCCATAAGCCTCCTCAATGTCGATAGAAAGGTTCTGGCAAAGATCTTGTTCTGGCGCTTGTCGTCAGTGGCAGACGGTTTGCTTTCTCGTCAGCAGCATTGCTCGGTCCAGAGCAGGAGTACCTTCACAGCGGTGTTAGCTGCTCGGGAGGCCCTGGAGCGGTGTAAGGCTGAAGGATGGGGGAAGTTCTTGCTGGCGGTGGACCAGGCAAAGGCCTTTGATAGAGTCAATCATGAGTACCTCTGGCATCTCCTGGACCGGTACGGTTTGGAGGGGAGGTTCATTGGCTGGCTGAAGACGTTGTACAGGGAGGATGAGAGCTTCATGTTGGTAAATGGCTGGGTTGGGAGGCCCTTTGGGGTTGGATCCGAGGTGCGCTGGGGTGCCCGCTGAGCCCCTTGCTCTATGCCTTTGCCATCGACCCTTTCGTCAGGAGGTTAGATGGTGGGGCAGTGAGCGGGGTGCCGGTGGGTGCTACTGGGGAGTCGCCTCTGAGAATCATAGCTTATGCTGATGAAGTTTCTGTTTTCATCTCTGGACCGGAGGAGGCGCAGGAGGTGGTTTTGGTGATGGATCAGTATGCCGAGGCATCAGATTCCAAGGTCAACCAGGATAAATGTGAAGTTCTCTGGATGGGTAGGGAGGGTGAGAGCTTCTCACTCCCGGACACCTTCCCGGTGCCTCAGCAGAGTATCAAAGTTTTGGGCATTAATTTCGGCCCTGCTGAATACAGCAAGTTAAATTGGGAAACCAAACTGTCGGATGTCGAGGTCAAAGTGAGATGCTGAAAGGGGGGTGGCGGCTCTCCTTGAAGGAAAGGGTTGATTTGATCAAGACTTTCCTGCTCCCCATCTTTTTATACATCAGCTTTGTTTGCCTCTTGCCAGAGTTGCTCTATACAAGGATCTACAGCTGTTTCTTCCAGATGTTATGGGTGAATCGGTTGACCCTCGTCTGGAGGGATGTGACCCACTCATCCAGGCGGGAGGGTGGCCTAGGTATGATCAACCCAGTGATTTTCTTCTCTCTGATGTTCCTGAAGCATAATCTTGGTAGCATGTTGGTTGACAGACCACCTGCATGGGTAGGACGGTTCCAGATCTGGTTTGGACCCTTTCTGAGCAGTTGGGAGAGTGGTGGGCCAGTGAGAAGCCTGCGGGTTAAGCATGGCAAGCTCCCAGATTATGTGGCCCCGTGCCTGAAGTTACTCCGGCGGTGGCATGTGACTGCGGAGGAGGTCAGGTCCCTTCCCAGGAGACTCCTGGGTGAGAGGATTGTGGCGACCGCTTTCCATGCGCCGTTGGCCTTGAGAGATTGCCCAGACCATGTTATGAGGGAGGGTCTGCGTTTGATAAATCTGGAGCGGATCCCCTTGAAATTGAGGGACCAGGCCTGGCTCGCCTTCCATGGCAGGCTTTACGTGAGGGGCAACATGAAGTACCGTCCTCCGGATGACCGTAGTTGTCCGAGGTCAGAGTGCCGGGGTGAAGTGGAGACTATGGACCACTTCTTGCTTCGGTGCCCCTTTAACGTTGAAGTGTATCAACAGGTGGGTGGGGCTCTGGGTGTTCCTTTCCTCCATCGCATGTCTTATGCGGAGTGGGTGTATGGAGCATTCAAAGGTCGCTCGGGTTTTGATTTTAGATACTCTGTTTTTAGTCAGTTTAGTGGCCCGGTACTACACATGGTTGGCACGGTGTCAGGTATCCATTCGGCAGAAAATCCTTCCTGTTCAGGTGGTGGTGAGTGACATCCTTGGTGAGGTTGGGAAAACTCGGAGCCTTGAGAAAGACAGGCTGCGGCAAAGGGCTTGGATGGAGGCGTGGAGGAACATCAAGCCTGTGGCTGCTGTCTGTTGATCTCGGGTGGTGGGATCTGTCCATGGCTTCTGCCTCTTTCACCCCCCTAGATTTTGCAGATAAGGTCTTTTTGATGAAAGGTTGGCAGGGGTAGGGCACTGAAGGTCTACGGGTTTCTTAATCCTTCTCTTACAGTGTGATTGTTATTGTCTTCTTATTATTTTTATTGTATAGTTAGGCCATAATGGTCATATGCAGCAGTTATATATGGAAATTGCATGAGTCTGTCGGTTCTATAGGAATCTGAAACAGCGGTTGCTGTTCTTTTGGCCATAAGGGCCTGTATATAACTGTGTGTGAGTTTCCCTTTCAGGAACTGGACTTACATTTTGGGCCGTAAAGGCTAAGTTTATTATGTTTTTTTTGTTCTCCAAGGACTTTGGACATTTTTTGTTTTAGTTCATGTGTTATGTTTGTATTTATTTACATATTTATATTTTTGTATAAAAAAAAGGTTACTGGTGGTTATTTATGACACAATACATATCAATAAATATCTCCATTCCTGACGAGGCGTGTGTGAGGAGTGCTCTGTGTCTACCACATGCCTATTGTGAGACCAGGGGCTGGATTTCTCTCCCTGCCCAGGAGGGATGAGCAGCCCTGGGCAGGAATCAGGTGGTGGGGGCCCCTCTGAGGGTCCTAGTACTGATCCCCTCATTCCAACTGGGGATATGGGAAAGGGCCCGAGGAAGGGGGAGCCTTATGCGATTTATAAGGATCGCAGGAGTGTCTGTGTGGGTCGTATTGCCCGTGAAGAGGAAAAGCTGTGCAAGCTGAAAGCGGAGATCAAAAAGTTCCGTGTTGCATATGACAGCTTATGGAGCAGTAAGCGAGTGGCTTTGAAGCCTGACTTAGAAAAGTTGGAGCAGAAGCTGCGGGTCCAGAGCCGGATTGTGTCCACCCTGAAGGCTGCCGGCGAGGAGCCGTGTCGTCGTCATCCCTGGACAAGCCGGCGGGAGAGCCGGCCAGCATGAGGAAGAGCCGCCAGAGGGTCCCGTGGCGGACGTGCAGAGCCAGGTGGCCGGGATGTCTGTGGGAGAGTCGGAGGAGGTGAGGGGTACCACGGAGCTTGTCCCCCCGGGGCAGCGGCCACCTGACTGGGGGTCACAAGTGAAATCGCTGAGGCATCAGGAGCTATCGAGTTTGTGGAGGAGGTGGAGTCCCCGCTGCAGGGGCGCCATTTTCAGTTTGGATCGGAGGACTCTGATGTGGAGGAGATCGGGGTCCCCAAGCCATTGAAGCCAAAAATTGTAGAGAAAGCGGTTTATGTCAAACTGCGGAGGCTACCGGAAAAGGAGCTGGCCAATGTGCGGGGTCACCAGGCGGCCGGTTCACTGCAGGGCACGGGCAGTGTGGAGGTGCCACCGGCTGAAGGTCTAGAGGACTCAGTATGGGACATGGTGGTAAATATGGTATCTGATAAAAACATATGCAATGTGTCTGTGCCTGTCCCCCCTGGCCCCTCCTTGCTGTACAGGGGTCTGCTTCCGGGGTGCCGGTGTCTGTCCTTGGGGCTCCGTCCGTTGTCCCGGTTCTCCCCTGTCATGGGTCTGGTGTGGCTGTAGATGTTACTGGTGCCCCTAAGTCTGGCTTGGCCTCTGTTGGGGCTGGTGGGGTGGAGGAGGTCAGTGTACCAGTGTTGGGCCCCGGTGCGGGTGATAGCATCAATGGTGTTACTTCTGGTACCCCTGTGTTTGCGGGGAAGGATAGTGTGGTGGTTGCTGGTAAATCTGTGTTGGGCCCTAATGTTGGGGCTCAGGGTAAAGGGATGGCCCCTGGTGGGGTTAGGAGTTATGCAGCAGCGGTCAGTGCCCCTATGTCCGGCCCTGTCTCTGAGGATCCAAGTTATGCTGCAGCCCTGAGGGGGGCTAGGCTGTTGATGGGTCATCCAGGGGAAGTGAGGCCTGGGTCCGCTCCCCAATCAGTCAAACGAAGGAACGTGGTCCAGCTTAAATCATCCGGGCAGGGTTCCCCTCCCAGTAGGAGGGAGGTAGTAGATCACCTGTTGGAAATGGGCTTCAAGACAGGTGACATATTTGCCCTTATTGCCCCTGTAGGGTCAGGGTAATATGATGTTTCTTTTGTTAGGAGTGACATGCTGGATGTCTTCTGGCAGAAATATGATGACAGATGGAAGGGATCGGAGAGGTGGGCGGGGCTTGTCCCCAGGGTAGTATCAAGGCAGCCTTTGGTGAAGAACATCACCATCTTAGTAAGGAACGAGTCAATTCCTACAGCAGACATCATGGTCTGGTTGCAGCGATATGGGGAGGTCCTGGGGCCCCTTAGGAAAATAAATGATGACAGGGGGATTTGGACGGGTGGGTGGGTGGTCGGTCACTATGAGGCGAGGTGTTTCAGATAACATGGTGAAGCATCTTCCCTCCTCGGCCTTCATAGGTCATGATAGATTAATTATTTTTTATGCAGGGCAGCCTAGACTGTGCCATAGGTGTGGGAGTAAATCCCACTTTGCCTCCTCATGTTCAGTCTTGCGTTGTTCCCTTTGTAAGGAGGTGGGCCATGTTGCGCGTGATTGCAACCTGATTCGGTGCAATTTGTGTCTGCGGTTAGGCCACTCTTACTCGCAGTGCCCGGAGGCTCTGCATAACCAGACAGAGGTGGTGGAGGAGTTAGCAAGGATGGAGGCGGAGGAGGCGGGTGATCTGGAGCATGGTTTGGGCCCTGCAGTGTCCCAGGAAGGAGTTTCCCCTGTAGTTTCTATTGTCTCTGCTGCTCCCCCAAATGTTGGGTCAATTAATGTA